TTCCGGCATGGGTAACAGCACGCTGTATTTGTTTCACAGTTGTAGCTCAGCCATGGACAACGTTTGTATCAGGCTGGATTGAAATCTCTAGAAAAAGATTCAATGCCGAATTTTTTTGGGTTGTAGCACTTCAAGATAGGTTGCTGAGGACCCTCGTCTAGATCCCCGGACTTTTGGCAAGTACCACTATATACATTTGTATCCAAAGAAGAATTGTGCGCACCATCTACGACATCTGACTTATCTGAGACACCATTATCCAGCATAACTGACTTCTGTGACTTTTCCAGAACACTGTTATCTATGACAACTGAAATGGACATATCCCGATCAGCACTATGCACGATTTCAGAGTTAGCACCATTGTCTACGATTTCTGTCGTATCCGGAGCACTTGCACCATTGTCAGCACTATTATGTATGTTTTCCATAGCCATTATCTCTGACTTATCCGAATTACCTGTATCCCTGATTTCTGACTCGTCTGTTAGACCGACATCCATAAATTCTGACGTAGCCGGAGCCCGTCGAACACCATTATTCACTTGAATCATCTCGATTTCTGACTTATCTGGAGCAGTATCTAATGAATCCACTATAACTGTACTGTTGTCATTCTGAAGGTCTGAGCCAACGTCTTCGGCGTCAATTTTGCTGTATCTAAGCATATTTATTGTTTCATCGCCGCCGGTGAAATCTTGTTGCGATTGATTTGGCGCACGCGAAACAGTAAATTTAACTCTCTTGACTATATGCTTGGTTCTTGCATGAGCGTCTTGGTACTCGGCAACGATGTCTTTTTTACATTCGGAACAGGTAACGCGATGGTGATAGGCCAGCTTACGTTTTTGTGGGGCTGGATTCGACATGTCTAATATGGCATAAGGCGAGTTTTACGCAAAAAAAACTTATGTATGGTGCGTAATTGTTTCCACCGTCGCGTAATTTTTTGAAAAACTACAGGCGGAAATTTCGCTGGCTTTACGCCATGAACGTGGTAAAGCCAGTTAAATTCACACGAGACATTGGTTGCCGAGCACGTGACTCAGATCTTCTGAGAGTCTCCAGTGGATAATCTGCAATATGATTCTAGAAAGTTGCCAAAATTGACTCTAATTAATTCACGACTGGAAATTCCCCACACTAACTAGAGCAGTGCAGCACAGTGTTCAACAACAACAAAATTACAAATATGTATATCAACATATGATCCCCTTCAAAAATAACCAGAAAGTGATCACTTGCTAGGAAATCACTGTCTCGTGTGAATTTAACTGGCTTTACAACGAAGACTCGATTACCAGCCGCTGTTCGGGGAAAAGAGCCCACACTCATCCCCCCGAAGGGGAAGATCAAAGACCGGACCCGGGAGACGGTGGAAATCTAGCCTATTTACAACGGCGACTTCAGGTTGAAACAAAAAATATCTCTTCGAAAAAAAAACACACAGACACATGCAAGCTCCTTTAAAAACTAGCTTTGCCCAAATTTCTCGTGCAGCCCCCACCCCCCACGGCCCGTGCGCCTATGGACACGAATGACAATAAATCTCCAAGGTTGTGGCATATTACACGACTGCACCTCGGACAAGGAAACCTTACAACGAGAAAAAACAAAGTGAAGAAAGTACAATATAAATGTTAAAACAAACCTTTTAACTGGGTAGAGTATTAGGGCGCCTGAAACAGCATCGCGCGATCACGAAAATTAGGTTTCATGTAAGCCACACTGAATTGTCTCGCTCAGCTCAGAGAGCGAACTACGTCCTAGTATCTAGTTTTTACATAAATACAAGCATTTCAAAGCCCTAATCTTACTCTAATCTTGAAAATTATAATATAAAATGAGGTAGAAAAAAAAGCCATGCACTAGCAAAGGACGGGATAGCTATGCGAGGGAAAACGGAAAAAGATAATGAAGATGAAGATCTTAATGAAAATCCTTATTGATTAATCAGTTAAACCAAACACTTGAACACATACGTGCAAGTTTACAATACAATAGAAGAGAAGTTATCTAAAAAGTATTACTTTCTTTACAAATATTAAACTAGATAAAGTTAAAAAGAGATATATTTACAAAGCAGCGCTTAAACCGCTCTGTGCGATACGTTGACTTAAAGATTAATATGTACGTTTATTCGGTAGAAGATCCGTTAAACAATGTGTATCTGTAGCTGTGATTTTTTCCCATAGTTGTTTATCCGCTAGTTTGAATTACATCACTGATTAATATGCGCTCCTTGGTATAGCCGTATTTCCACGCTCGCTTGCAGAATTTATCGATCTTAGCTGAGAGGTGTTTACCACCATAAGCGCACGCATATGCACATGCCCAAGCACATGCCCATACTTCAATTCCGTATGTAAATACGGACATAATTAAGCTATGAAATAAGATCGTAAGTTCTTCTGGAGTGTACCCATAGTACTTACAAATTCTAAGGATTAAGATAGATGTCTTAAATAAACACTGCCCGGTAAATGATAAATAATTACTTGCTTTATCTGTCTTCATGAATAAAGGCTGATAGTTTCGAAAGAAACTGTTTGGGGCTGCGTTGGTGGGAATAACGAAATAATATGGATATATCAACAAAGTTGAAATGCTAAATTAGCCACCGTAATGATTACAAAAGCTGACGTTTCGAGCGTTAGCCCTTCGTCGGAGCGAATAGAGGAATTGTGGGTTGTGTGTGCTTTTCTCGTTGCCATGCTCCCACCAATAACGTAGCTCCATTAAGCACACACAACCCACAATTCCTCTATTCGCTCCGACGAAGGGCTAACGCTCGAAACGTCAGCTTATCTGTCATCAGTTTGACTAGCGATGAAAGTATTGTTTTTTCCGTCAAGAATGGAGTTCTTTCAAGGGTATCAAAAAAAAAAGACTTAATGATCTTTTAATGTGATGCTCTACCCCCAATACAGTCTGAATTTTCTTCCACTGCTCGTGGGAGTCACTCATCATTAGTCTGGAACTATTAATCTGAAAAAAGATGTTGAGATTTGTTTCAATAATTAAGGCAACTGCGACTAAAAGTGTCTCGTTCGTGATTCGGCAATCGAAGGGTACAGAGGCTATCTTGTTGAAAGTTCCGTCAATCAAGACAAGTCGAATTATCCCAATACAGCTACGTGATCACAGTAGATACCGGGCTTCAAATTCTCCATCACGAAACTCGCAAAATTTTGGCTAAACTTGGATCGGACGCCCGTCCTTGTCAGTATGCCGAATAACTTGAGGATTACATCTATCCTCTTGAATTATTCTTCGTGGCGTGGAAGTGTTTTCAAAACTTTTCAAAACCTGACTGTTTTACTAACTAGTTATTAGAGTCTGTCAGGTCTAATCAAGAGATTACAGGATATGGCAAATCGGCATATGTAACCAGATTCCGTAAATAAGAAGGATTAATGAATTATGTTCATTTTCAAACAGAATGAACACTTGCATCTTTCAGGTGTTTGAAATCTTCCATGGATAAATTTCAATATTTTACTTCTTCTATGGCTCGATTTACTGCTTAACGATAAAATTTGTCTTCATGATTTTATTCAGCGCGTATTAAATCCAATCACATGTTTCCGTTTTGAACATAATTCTTTTGACCTGTACAACATTCTCCTCTTCGGCGGGGCCTGAATGTCATGCAGCGTGTTGCGTGACGATCCCAAATACACTCATTTCTAACATCACTGACACAGAGGAAGTTCCACTTTTTCAGTTTCATAAAGATATTTCTTCTAGCCAGTTAAAAATATCTTTAAAACTCTAATTTGGAAACCTTGTTAGAATCCTAACTTGCGTGACTTGTTATTTCTGACTATTTGAAAAATGCTCCGCTCCTCCCAACAGAATCGCGAGCATTTCCAACCTCATGATCAATTGGAAGCCATTGAAACTACTCTTCCTCGATAAAAGCTCAGCTTATTTCGAAATTCGTGCAAATGACAGAGGTACTTCACACTTCCATTTTCCAAGAAGACCCCGTGACTTTGGGAATTCCCTGGTGTCAATTAACATATTAGACTTCCTCAACTTCCGTGTAAATAGATTGTTGAATCCAAAGGTTTCCATACCATTTGCAACGAGCAACGATCAATATCAGGAGGAACTAGAGACTACAAATCAAGCTTGGAAAAAAACCCGTTAAATAGCAAATATGGTTGAGGTACGCGGTAAACTTACTATAAATTTAACTTTGCAACTACTCTAGCGTGGACTGAGTTCATGCAGTTAAACTTTTCAACTAGAGAACTAAACCCGCAGAGTTTTTTTCCAGTTGTGTTGTTTTGTTGATTTCGAAATGTTAAAACATCTCTCTTGTTCTTAATTTTATCGGACAGTTGATTGAAATTAGCGCGTGTGTTCGCATGGACATCTCCTAGCACAGACTTGACAGAAGAGGAAACCTCCTCATAGCAGATTTGTCGGAAAACGAACCTGGACCTCAAATCCCTGCAAGCTTTACCGGAAGCCATCAGGGCAATAAAACAGGTAAATATAAGCGTATGGTGGGTCGTGATCCTCACAAAAGATTATAAAGCTTTAGCGCATGTAAAAAACTTGAGTAGAATGGTCTAAACTGTTCGAGCATAATTCGAAAGAATCGAATAGAGATTTCCGCAGAAATGTAACTGACTTGGTGCCCATTTAAGGGCAAATTTATGAGTTTTCAGATTCGCTCTATCGTGAGTATATTCTGCGTGTAACGACATTTGCGGATCTTTTCGTTCATTTTCAATTCTGACGGCGAGTTAATTGCAAACATTCTTTTAATTAAACAACAACAAACATATGAAACATATGTGTGAACTGCGGTTATGAGACGTATATGAGCACGATCCTTCGCAGTAAAGCACTATTTGAGCAATAGTGAAAATCAGACCTGAAAAAAAAAAATTTCAGGCCTGTACGGGATTCGAACCACTGACCTCTATGAAGGAAGTCAACCCTTCCTCAATGAAAGATGACCAGCCAACTGACAGACAAACATGGTTCCTTCTACACTTTGTGTAAACAGTGAAAGTAGAAAGAGAAAGTACAGTATACAGTTGTAACTTTGATAGCACAAGTATTGACTGTTCAGTCACATGTTAGGCTCAAGTGGAAGCCTGTTTGGTGTAAATATGTTTTAATATGAAAATACATGTACAGGAATAGCATGCAAAAATTTTAAAAAGTTTTTTTTTTTATCCTGGGCTGTTTTGTTCCATTTTTTAATAGAGAGTTTCGATTTATTTCTTGTTCAGTGCATACTTACCTTTTTTTCAGATTACAATAACATTTTTCTTGGTTTGTGATACATTGAAATACTGGTAAAAAGAAAGCAAGCTCTCTTAGAAAGAGACTGGAAAAGTTTTTTTTTTTGAAAAATAAAAATATTTTATGTAGCTTTACAGTTAAGAAAACTTCTCTAGTATGTTGTCAAGTATTACTGAGTATTTGACATTAGTTTGCCATTGTAATCACATGACTTTAAGTAAGGAGATAGTCCTTAAAATGTTCTAGCTAGGTAATATAAGTTGTAACTGGTACTGTAACCTGAATATGTCTTTTACTGCATTTCTCTTATACTGTATTTCTATTAAAGCATTATTGCTAAGAACTTCTGTTGTTGTGGGACTATCATAATGTACCTCGAGGAGAGAAAAAACAAATCAAACTAAAACATTCAAATCAATTCAATGACACCTTTGTTTAAGCTACAACATAAATGCAAACCCAAAAGCTCAATTGGTAGAGCGCTGCACTAGTATCGCAGAGGTCAGTGGTTCGAATCCCGTACAGGCCTGAAATTTTTTTTTTTCAGGTCTGATTTTCACTATTGCTCAAATAGTGCTTTACTGCGAAGAATCGTGCTCATATACATTCTTTTAATTATCCTCAAGTATCCTTGAATATTCATATTAGAAGGCCTCATAAATCTAACCACACTGACAGCTGTTAAGGTAAAATTATCTAAAACAGTAATTTGCAAATCTTGTTTATCTTAGCAACTATTGATTACCTAAAATTCGAGAAATGGTTTTCGCTACGCGTTTTTGTTAGATGATGAACAGAGAAAACAAAACTTTGAGCTCAGAGCTTCTCTCTGTTTTAAACCCAGCTTCAAGACATTACTCAGAATGGAACTAGATCATTTGATCACATGATATAGTTTTCAATATGGTTTGGGGACTAATTGAATAAAAATTTAAAAAGTTCAGTCTACCTCATNTTCGAACCACTGACCTCTGCGATACTAGTGCAGCGCTCTACCAATTCATTCATATTTTGAATGTATGAAGTTCATTCATATGAAGTTTATTCAAAATATATGAACTTCATATATTTCATTGTATCTGATTTATCACTTTCACGGGTTTATTACGAATCAACTTAAAGGCCTGCTCCCAGTTGGCGTGTTAGCTCTATTGGTAGAGCGCTGCACTAGTATCGCAGAGGTCAGTGGTTCGAATCCTGTACAGGCCTGATTTTTTTCAGGTCTGATTTTCGCTATTGCTTAAATAGCGCTATCTACTGCGAGGATCATGCATCATACGTACCAAAAGTGCAGTAAACATGTATGGATATTGTAAAACCAAGACTAAACCAATCACCATCTAACAGCTACTTAGAACTGACAAATTTTGAATGGAGCTGTTGAGAACTCAAACTAACTACTTGTAACTGACTATAAGTGAGGCAAACTCATGAAGTGACCGCGTGTGCTGATAGACCAGCCTCTCTAGAAAGCCATTGATTACTGTTCCATGTGGATGAAGCTTCAGAAAGTATTGTTACCTTGTGCTGGAAACGGAATCTAACCCTTGCTTAAGTAAAAAACTAAAAAATAAAGAAAGCTTGACCAGATGGTGGGTACACGAACTGCAAGGTTTTTGTTTCCCTTATTGCGACTGACTGAAAGAGAAGCAGAAGATGACAAGATTTCCGTACAACCCCGTACTTCATTATGCATTCAATGCTTGGATCGATAAAGGAAAGCATGCAGAGGCAATGCAACAGGTTTCCTTTGGGACTGCGGCTTTGTTTTTGATTGGTATGGGTTTAGACGGAAATCTTTCCGCAGAAGATAGACAAGGAGAATTTAAAAAGCCTTTTAAATAATTGTACTACTAAGATTTGTTTCCAAGCTGACGAAAGATCATCGTGATAAATCATGTTCAAGTTGATCGATTGAATGTACACATTTGAGTATTTCGTGGAAGACCCAACCTCTTTCTTTACATTACGGGTACACCAAGACCACAACAACCAGTGAGAAAAAAGGAAAGAAACGACAAACCTCATAGAAAGCGCCCTTGTTACTCTCTTTGGTATTGCGCCATGGAGGGCTTCGTATTGTAAAAACTCCCTCTTCATCAACAGATTTATTTATCATGTAATATAATGTGAATTGTCTCATTCTTCTTTAAAAAGGTTTTACGTAATATTGATAACTTCATTTTTCTTTTTCCGCCTAGAATGCAAGCATTTGAATGGTTTTGTCTTACCTTAATCTTATAAGTTAGATAGGAAACGAGGTGCAGAGCGGTGCTTTGATAAAATTTGCAATAGAGAGAAGAGGGGGAGCGTCTACTGTCCACTACGATATTTGAACGAGTAAGACTAGCACCCTAACGGCTGAAATTTAGTTTTAGCCGAGCGGTATGTGTTTTTGTAGTAAAACTATACACAGATCACTCGCTCGTAAAGTATACGACAGCCTCGACGAGTCAGCCAGACTGTCTTGCCCGGAGAGTGTGGAATCACTGGCAACAAAAATGTTGGTACATGTATGTAGAAAAAGCGCAATTTTTGTGCACTGAAATAGCAGGTGGAAACCTTCAAAACTGAAGCTTCTAATTAATTTTTTCAGAGCGAATTACATAATCGTTTTCCGTGTTTTTTACTTTACATGCCAGTTGGTCCTTTCTCCGTCGTTTCTAACTGATGCAATCGAGGCGAAGTGTACGTAGAGGATATTAGTATTTATAATTTGAGCCGAAAAAAAACACTAGTCGCCATTCTGGAAAAGACATTCGACTTTCAAAACCTAAGCGATCGTTAGCTTCGAGTAAAAGGATATACAGAGAGAAATGAGCAAAAGAGAATACATCTTCCCCATTCACTGCCGTTAATTTCGCTTGTACGTCAGTTATGAGAATCTGGCGGAAAATGAGGATATCATATCGGATAATTCGTTTGCTACACATACTGTGGTCTGGTATCTTTTACATCAGTAAACCTATCAATGTACCGAACACATTTGTCCGCATTGTTTTTTTTCTCCTTTCCTTCAACAGAAAACAAATACAACACTAGTGCAAACTGAAACCATCCAGCCAAAAATTAATTATTGATTTCATAAGATTTTGATCAAATTCCATGACTATGCAGAATCCGGAGAGGTTCAACTCTTTATAAATTAGAGCAACATCTATTTGAATGACATTAGATTTTGTTAGACATTTAAGAATAAACACTAGCGAGAAAAATACACAACGTTTCGATGACTCCATGTCATCATTCTCAAGTGAGAAGAGAATAAAAATGAATAGTTAATTTATACCGTACGAAGGTGGCAAACGTAAAAAGTTTAAAATATTTAAAATATTTAAATAAATAATTGCGCGTGTTGAGTTCATAAATGTAAACTATTAAATAAATAGTTTCGCGCGTATGGAATCCGATTGTTTGTTCAAAGAGGGCTTCATCTTCTTTATGAAAAGCATTTCATGAACTAAACAGTCCAGTTTCCCGGTGCACTTTTTAAGTACGTTGAAATGCTTGGTCAGGTCGCCGATGGTTTGTAGGCCGTGGTCGTTCTTTAGATGTTTGCCGATGGCCGAATTACGGTGCTCATTAATACGTTGATGTAAATGCCGGCTGGTGTACCCGACGTACTCTGCATCACACAGATCACATTTATAATTATATACAACGCATTGTTGGCTAACTATAGGAGGTTTAGGCTCACGTACTCTGAGATCTTCACAGATTTTGCGACTCTTGAACACGGGATGAAGGGTGTGATCGATTTTGTTGCTTAGATCTGATAATTGCCTTTTCACTGCGTCAGCTGACTTTTGATCTTTAAAAGGCAAAACCACTCGGTGAACAGCATTTTCGTTGACGGATAATTGAGCTTGCACTCCAGGGTTTTCCGACCTAACTGAGGTGACAAAGTGAGAGATGGTGGAATTGATGAGGTGGTCGGGATACTTGAGGTTTGTAAACATCATCTTTAGATGATCACATTCAGATTTGAAGGACTCCCATGTGGACGACAGGCGGAATGCACGATTCAACATGGTCTTAAGTAGTGATTTCTTGTACCTTTTATCGACGTGGCTCTGGTGATGAAGCAATAGGCCTGTGTTTGTTGGTTTCCGATAAACACTAGTTTCTAGTTTACAGCCTTTCTTGAGCACTTCCATACCGACAAAAGGTAACTTGTTTCCAGATGCTAGCTCCATGGTGAAGTGTATGGACGGATGGCAGTTATTTAGCGTTGATAATAAATCTTCTGCCGCTGGTACACTTGTGACAATAGCAAACGTGTCATCCACGTACCTTCTGTAAAATTCAGGGAGCTTGTTGTCTTGATCTAGTTTCTCTTCGATAGAACAGAGAAATGCGTTTGCCATAAGTGGGCCCAATGGAGAACCCATGGCCACACCGTCGGTCTGCTCGTAAAGATTGCCATCAAATTGGAATAGTTGATTCATAGTTGCAACTTCTAGAAGTTGAACCAGTTCAGGCTTTGTAATGCTGAGGTCGTGTGTAGTATTAAACCAGTTGTCAGCGAACGCCTTCTCAGCGATGATTTCGATCGTTTCTTGAAGCGGCACATTAGTGAATAGTGACGTGACGTCATAGGATACCAGAATGTCATTCTCGTCGATGACTAGGTTTTGAATCTCATCGGCGAAGGAGAAGGTATCTGATATTGTGTAGCGATTGCTTGACAGGGGCTTCAGTTTGTCATCAAGCCACTTGGCGAGGGCATAGTTGTAAGTGCCGGTGGCAGATAGGATAGGTCTCATCGATAGATTCTCTTTGTGTGTCTTAGGGAGTCCATAAAGATGGGCAAGGCGTGAGCCAGCCTGGCAAACACAGTCGGCAATCTGCTTTGGTAAGATCTTCCGTACAACAGATGCAAGGTGCTTTTCCTTCTCCAATAGAGGGTGGTAATGCTTTACTGGGCGGCCTCTCGTTTTTGGTCTCTGCAGGCTGACAGGTGTGAACTTCGATGTATCATTGATAGATGCCTGGCTCAGCAGGTTAATATAATCAGATTTGTTCATGATGACTACACCAGTACCTTTATCTGGCTTTGTGACGACGATGTTGTCAAGTCGTTTCAACTGCTTTACAGCCCTTTGCTTTATAGCCCTTAGAAGGGCTGAATTAGTATGTGGGAGGCATAG